CTTCTCCAAGTTTGATGAGCAAAGTCCCCAGACAGAAAAAACGACAGTCAAATAAACTGAAAAAACTGATTCATCTACAGCCTTCTCAGACTTCTTGGGCGGCTTCTTCCCTTTTTCAGACTTCTTTGAAGCAGCAGCTGCTTCAGCCCGTTTTTGTGCTGCAAGCTGAAGTTTCGCGTATGGAGCCACAATCTTTTGTGCAGCTGAGGGCGTGGGCGCATCAAAGTCCCTTGGCCTTGGAGACGGTGTGGTCAATGAGTCCTGCACATTGCTAGGTGGTGAGGCTAGATGCCACAAAACAACTATCCCAAGCCTTCGGCTTCTCAGACGCCCGACTCTGTGACTTGCGAGGAGGTTCAGCCTTCACAAAGTGTTGCAACTAGAACTCATTGGGTCAAAGTTGAGAAATGTTCCTTGTAGTCGGTTTTCTTCAAATCATCGCAAAAGCCTCTTCATTTCCCTCTTCATCATCATATTCTCCAAGACGTAGGGTTTTTGCTCGGAGCAAAGCCTCCTCCAACAAAGACAAGACATGGTGCGGCAATCTCAGGTTAAAGTGGCTCCTCATAGATCCGGATGCCCTCGCAATCTTCATCAGCTGCTGCATCCTCATAGGAGCCTTTGCGCAAGAGTTGGCCCAACAAACGAAACACGGTTGTTTCAAAGTGACAGTCTTATTCCACAAACTTCTAAAGGAAGGGTACTGGCCTGGGACATATGCAGAAGTCGCGTCCCCACAGTTCGCGGAAAGAGCCCATGCGATCTGGTCTTCACCTGCAGGTGCTGCAATTCAGATCCAAAATAACCCTACACTAAGATGGAGTGCAAAGCTCCCCTACCAAAGGGAAGCCCAAATAGGTTTAAACACTATGAAAAAATCTAGGGCAAACTATAGCCGATTTAGCCTTATTTGTTTTGGCCTCTATCGACCTCCCTTGGATAAGGATGCAACCACTGCTTTTTGCCAAGGTGCTGAACCATGATTCCAATTCCTCATACTGTCCTGAGGGTCCCAAATATTGTTTAAAGAACGAGTTGGTGTGATTGGCCAGTGTTTCTATGAAAGTCAAGTGGCGCTTCTGTTCTTCTTCTTCATCGAACCATGGGTCCCTGTTCTTCAAAGCGGTGAACCATTCCCAAGCCTGGCAGGTGCATGACGGTGTCTCAAAATAGGTGGAAACAGGGTGTGCCTTGTCGTTCTTCTTCCCAACCACTCCCTCACAAGAAACAAAACCAGAAGTGCACTGCTCGACCGAAGACCAGCCAGCCTCGTTCTGAGATTCGGCCATCTCATCGTCCTGGCATTGATCTTGAGACATCGTGTCACACCGGATCTTGGACAATTTGGCGGGATGAGCTCTTGGAAGAAATGGGGTGGGAAACTCAGGGCGTGTCCGACGGCGTGTCCTGGTAATGGTTCCAATACTCATCCGGGTGATCCATCCCATCCTCGTAGGGCCCAGCCTCACAAGCCACAAGATTCCAGTGAATTCTATCCCCACAAGTCTGGGCAGGCCTCCTGCTCAGAAAAGGCTGCCCCAGCCTTTTCCTGAATTTTTTGGTGGCAAGAAAAGAAAAAGCAATGGCCGGTTGATCGATCGAAGACTCCTCCCCATCGATGGCGTTGGAGATCGGGTTCCATGCAAGTTCGTCCTCGCGTTCAAAGCGCCATAAAAGGAAAGCAATGGTTTGTTGAAGAGTCCTCCCCATCATCCCCATCTTCATCTTTGGAGATGTTCCATGCCGAACCGTCCTCGCATTCAATTCGCCATGCCTTTTGACCATAACAGGTTAAACTACATTTGCTTGTCAAGTGGTTCAAAAGTGCATGAGCTTGAGCGTTGAGTCCTCCCAAAAGGTGGGCTCATCAAGATCCTGGCAAGTACAGGGGGATAGAATTTCTGTTCAACAGTTTTGTGCACCACATAACTCTGCTGGCCTCAAGCCACCAGTTGGGATCATAGCTGGGCCCGTAGGTGTGCCACCAATCGGCATTTGGTACCTATTCACACACAGAGATTGAGCGCACTTTGCGACTTGGAGCCCTAACTAGACATGTACTTGAAGTGCGCCTCAACACCAACTTCATCCTGTTCCTGGCAGGATTGAAAGGTTTACGAAGGGTTCAGATCGATGTCCCAGGGCACAGGCCTTCTTCTTCTCAATGCGTTTCTTTGGAACAGGAGGTGGCAACATCAGGCTGGCCTAGCGATGTTGTAGGTGCATACATAGCGCATGTTTTCATGACTGATTCTTCATTGTGGTGTCCTGATCTTTCCAAGATCCGCTTTCGAATCCCAATGGTTGTATTCTTACAACGCAAAAAGCTGGACACCACATATATGTAGTATTTAATATACAGAATAGAATACAGAAAAAAAGAACACACGTCAGGCCAGTTGAGGGAAACAGATGGGCCTGGTCTCCAATATCTTCATCACTGCGCCTCGATCATTTTGGAACAAAACATCAATCCGGGCCAGCCAAGGATTTGAGAAGTGGCCTGTTGCAAGCTGCTTCGACGGCAGCAATCTCCTGCACTTCCTGCCAGAGGGGCGATGACCAATCTGAGGTGATTTGAAACTCAGCTGCATCACATGTGCGCCCACCTCGCTCGACAGGGGCTGTGTCTCCAGGGCGTCCATTCTTGGAGCAGGGGCTTTTTGGTCAGGTACTGTGAGTTTGCGCTTCCGAGCCAGGACAAGTAGCGAGCACATTCGAATCCACTCATCCTTTGGCGTCACGCCTAAACCAAACTCTTCCCTCAACAAATTGCACACCTCACGAGCCAAGGCCTTCGTGAGAATCCTTCCTTTCCCAAAGAACTTGTTGATCCACCCACCAAAAAGCTGCCTCAAACTTGACCGCTTCAAGGAACCAAGGGGAAGCAACCGGTTGGTTCCATGAATGCGGGTTTGGTGGCTTTCTTCTCGAAGCCTTTTGGCAAGACGTTTTGCGATTCGTTCAGCAAATCGCGCGCGAACTTCCTGTTGTTTCCGCTGTCGAGAGGGCATGGCAACACTTTGATCTGGGCAGATCAAGGTTCAAAGGCTACGTATTCTTTCAAGATCTTTCAAGGTTGTTGGGGGTGATCCTTGTTTTTTACTACATGATCCTGCCCTATATATATACAAACTTTTGGGTCCATGTGTACGTACAGCCGCTTGAGCTAAATTTTGAAGGTTCATGATTCGAACACACTTAGAAAGCAAAGACCATCAAAAGTCCCATGTCCACCGGCCTCGATCTGAGGAATGGCCGGATCACATGGGTGTGGCAAAAACGATCGCTTCCGGCGGGCGGTTGAGATAGGATTGGGCTCCCAGTATAATAGATGAGTTTTTGAGGGTTGGACCAGAAAAACTTCATGCCCTAATAGACGAGTTTTTGAGGGTTGGACCATTGAAGGGAAACATCCTTTAAGTCTTATATATCGTATATTTTTGGGTTGCGAGTTACAACGACCATGCATGGTGAATGTCGTTGAGCCTGTGTTCCCCTGCGAAATGCACAAAACGAGAAGCCGCAAACTACAAAACATCCACGCACACCACAAAATCTTCCACCAAGCAAGTCAAAAGCAGACTTGCCAGCGCCTCAGATCGTAAAAAGCGGAGGTGTAGCTGAGCTAAGTTTGTTGGCCATGCGTTCACTTGATCACAAGGGGAGGTGTAGCTGAGCTAAGTGTTGTGGCAGTGGTTCACTTGATGTACAAGGGGAGGTGGTAGCTGAGCTAAGTTTTGTGGCAGTGGGTTTGCTTGATCATCAGGGGTCTATAAGACACTTGGCAAACTCTAGCTATAAGGCCGGTCAACCTCCGCTGGTTTGCACTCAGGCTTCAAGAGGGCGGCCTATCAAATTTGGCAACTTGGGAGGTGCCATCAGACAACACCTTGAGGCATTTCAGAAAATATACGGCATTGAGCACTGGACGAGTTCCACATGTCGCTCCATCTTGAAGGCATGTTTCGGCGTCATGGTACTTTGTCGTGCGCAACGCACGAAAGGAAACACAAAGTGCTCAAGAACTTTGCCAACCATCACCGGAATGGAGGCGTCACATGGGAGACATCGTTGCTGAAAGACGTTGTCTACCATGAGTTGTCAGGCCTTCGCGAGCATTCTTCGGTGCTTCGCGCCACTGTCGGACTTTTGGGGCCAAAGAGCCCTCCAAGCGGATGTTGGACAACTTCAGGCGTGTTGCTGGAGATTGCGGAAACCTTTGACAGGGAACACAGTCAGTGGTTGGTGCTGAGGGGTTCCAGTGCTCCCGCAAGGATGCTAGCGTGTGGTTGGTCGAGGGCCGCCTTGTTGTGGTGGGAGAGGTTTGGAACCACTTTCAGGTCAAGGACAGGTGCATCTCAGTTGTCAACCTCTGGGAGCACGTCCATGGATTCATTTACAAAGTTACAGAGAATCCGGTTGTGGTGGAGACGCAGTGTCTTCGTTAAGCGGTTCCTTACTCCAGGTTGGAGAGTTCTGCCATCGTGTTGTTGCCTGAACGAGCCCTGCGAGTGTAAAATATGAAGAGTGCTTGCAGTCATGTGCGACAATGCTTTCCCGTGGTGCATGTCGATGCAGACCTGGTTGAGACTGTGGTCCAAAACATGCAAGGATTGTTTTGTACTTTCATGTTTTGCAGTTGTAAGTGTGACATGTTCCACTTATATGTTCGACATGTTTCACTTAGTATGCTCACGATGTTGAACTTATATTGGCACCTGCATGCACCTGCAAACTTATGAGTGTCATAACTAAATATTGAAGATAACAACCGGATACATGTGACACAGTCCACTTACTAAGTCAGACAACACACATACAAAACATAAAAGACTTATATCCCAATATAGCTAGTTTGTAACCGTACATAGCATGCTTATATGATCTTATATGTACACATATATGTGCAATAACCACATTATCTAGATACTAACCGCACGCTCATTTAAGTAGATCATATTAGATCTAGCAGTCTCAGCATATATACTATGCATGAGAACTGGTAGTGTTCTTTTCTGCGGCAGACACAGGTTCTTGCGTCCACTGAGGTTCTTCCGAGGTGTGAAACTTTTTGTTCCCAGTTGCATGGTGGAAGGGCTGCGACTTCAGGCGCCGTGGGTCGCAAGCCATCGCGGTTTCAGAGGGCATGAAATCTTCAGGTGTGTCAACATGAAGTCACTGGATGGTGCTGACATGTCTTGACAAGCGGTCACCAAGGTTCGGTAATGATTCTGCATTTGGGTGACAGGCTGACAGGGAAATTTCATCATGACTTCAAGGCCGAAATGCGCCAGCGGTCACACGGTCCTTCTCGGTCCTTCTCGTTGGCAGGTGCTGTGTGGTGCCCACAGGGACCCCGTTCGACTCCAAAGGGACCCGACATGACACCGACGGGCCCAAAAACATCCGAAGAAGCAGACGCAATGCACCGCAGTGGTAGGACGAATGAAGAACCTTTGCATTCTTATCCCTGGCGTTTCTGCATTTGCATGGCTAGATGAAGATCCCAATAGGAACCGCTTCCATATTAGTTCTTGGTGTAGTGAATGGGCATCTCCGACATCTCCAGATTTGGATCGGACAGCATTTACCTTTGTGTTGGACACCGCCAGGCCCTAGCTCGCCATGCGCGGATCTCCGATCTCTTCCGGGGCTGCGGTGTCTCATGGGAGAAGAGGTTGAGCTTCAAGGCGGGTACGAAGATTGGGTTTGGATGGACGAGCAGATCGACCTCATTAGGACAGTCCATATTTCCTGAATCGATCTATGATGTCCACAGTGGATATTGGTTTGTTTTGTATTTTTGTGTTTTTTTGGGGGGGGGGGGGGGGGGGGGACCACCTTTTGGGGGGGGGACAGACAATAATTGGTAGGGAGATGTAGGGAGACATTCCAAGCAATGGGTTTTGCTGTTGCAACTGTTCTCATGCTGTATTGGGAAGAACTGGCCCTCCCCAAACATTTTTGTTGTTTGCTTTTTGTTCTGAGTTTTGTGAGGGTCTCCCTGTCAAGATCCGCTGATAGTGCATAAACTTGATCCTGCAGGTACCACTGTCAAGCAGCGGTTCCAAAGACTGGCTTGACACAACTGACATGCTGACTGCTGACCCAAATGGTTTCTATTGATTCATTATGGTAGCTTAATTGTTTAGAAGTTTAGAAGTGGGTATCTACAGTGGGATATAGAATTGATGTAGATGTTACCACGATCGGCATATCTGGAAGACAAGACCAGGTCTTCACGATCGAAAACGACCGAAAGGGACATGTCCGAAAGTAGAAGCTTCAAAGTGATGAGCAACATCTGTCTTTTGATGAAACACAGGGTTCCCCAAAAAAGCTTTTGTGGATGGAACAGATGGCTACACGCGGTTCATTTTTTGAGCTGCATCTATCCTTTCCTTTTTGATACACGGGTTCGAAGCACTCGTAGTTTGGTGTGCTTGTTGGTAGATGCCAAAGGACGGTATCCTTGAGGCGATGGCATTTGAGTGGCTAGCCGGGTAGCTGTTTGGAGTTTTGGTTTGTTTGCTGATCCACCATTGACTTGTACTTTTTGAGGGATGAGACATCAGTCAGTCAATTTAATCCTTGGAGATTGTAGATTGCTTGCTACATGCAGGGGAGTCTCTCGCTTACCAGCAATCCGTTCCACATTGGAGGCCTTCTCGAACCTTTTGGAGAAGTTGCAGATCAAGTGTGAGGAGCACATGGGGGATCGGAGAAGTGTCATGCCGCTTCAGCCTTGAAGAGACTCTCTAACATTCACAATGCTAGAAGCTGGTGTGGGAAGGGTGTGGTCATATACGTCCGAACATGTCCGAACCAACTCGACAATAATCTAGGTGTTCCTTCAAATCATGATCGACACTTGCAGTGTTTGGAACAAGATTGATGGGCTGAAACATTGGGGCAGCATCCCAAAAAATGTGTTTTTTTTGTTTTTCCGGGTTTGAACTGCCATATGAGCAAAGACATTCACCTGTCCCTTGAGAGAGATTTAGTGTATGTTATATAATTTGCTACATGCCTGTATATCACTCTCCTCAGCCAGGACTCATGAAGGTTATATAATGGTTTGTTGAAGTCCTGTGTCGTCAAAATCCTCAACTCCTTGGTCAAAGTGTGCGGCAAGCAAAACACAATACAGAGTCAGATGACCAATGAGACAGGTCAGTGGTGCTGGAAGAAGACCTGGACCGCTGAAACTAGTGAGATACTGTATCATCAAGTTCTCAGATTCTCAGATGGTAGTGCTGCTGTTGAAAGAAGAACTCCTGCACTACTGTGATTTCCTCACTTCCACCTCACAACAGGCTTTCCTTCAACGATTTCCACCGTTGGTCAGCTAGGGGTCAAAGGTTCATTCCTTCCTCCATAATTAACCAAAACAACCACCAGCAAAAACCAACCCAAAACACTACCTCCAAAGGTGCCCGTCGCTCCGAGCCGTCCTTCCGTATGACGGACTCTCGCGCGCGTATTGCCGTGGGCACTGAGCCGAATGCTGCTGCCTTGCCCGGTCAACGCCGTGGCCGCAGGAGCCACGGGATGCCTTCGATTTCTTGGACGTGCGCAGTTGCGGCACGATCTCCTTGAGGGAAGCTGGGGAGTCCCAGAGAAGTGAGGGGAGGCACCCATATGCCACCCCCGGTGTGGATTTTTGGCAGCTGGCTGCGCTCCAAGAAAAAGAGGTGAATGATAGTGAGTTGTTTTGATGTTGTTTTGTTCTTTTTGATTGTTCTCCACCGGTGGCTTGAGCTGATGCCCGAAGACCCTTGCTTGAGACCACGAGGACAAACATCCGACACCAACAAACACGTCTTTTGGAAGACCAGCAGGCGGGTGGTTTTCTGTCGGGGAATGGAGGTGATACCCCGAAAAACTGTTTGCAGAACTACATGATTATTCGAAGCCCACGGGTCAGATGACGCAGCCGGCAAAAGCATGCCTGGAAGATCCTGGAAGATTATTGATGTTTCTCCATTTTGTTTGACCCGACCTTGCAGGTCTGTTGTGTTGTTTTTGAATTGTGTTTCAATATGTTTTTTATATGTTGGAAGGATCACCCTCATTGACTGATCTTTCTTAAGGATGGTTTATATCACCACCCGGAAATGAACACTCTTACTCAATTGCACAAGTATAAATTTATTTGTCAAACTTTGTATGTCACCACTTCCAAGCAAGTCAGAATGTACGAAGTCCCAATCATTTTTAAACAAATATGTGTTCGATCGATGGTGTGCAATGTTCCTCATGGTTTTCGGAATTGCTAGGAACGGTTACGTCTCTTGCATCCCTTCATGTGCATAATTATTTGCTTTAGTTTGCTTTGTTCCTCTGAGATGGTACTCGTTTATTCCATACTGTAGCCTTTTCGGCTGTGGCTTCGGCTGACACACGTCATCCGAACCGCACAGCCCAGGTAGTGGCGACACTACAAAATGTGATGCCCGGAACAAAGGACTGGCACGTGTAAATGGGACGAACAGAATTTGTAGGTTAAGCGTCAATCGATTTCTCGAATGAATGAGCACATGGTTGAGTGATGTTGAATGCAAGTAGATGTCCTTCTGAATGGATTGACAAAAACAGTTGGTGCTGATGGTCGAGGCAACTGGAGGGTCCCACGTTTGCCTATCTGAGGGTAGTCGCTGGATCCCCAAGGATTTGGCTTTGGGTGGATTCCGAATCCCAACTGGCTGTGGCTGCGGTTTTCGTGGTTTCCGCTGTTTTCGAACGCTCCAGGAACGCTCCAGCCTTTGGGAGTGCGACCGAAAGGCGGAGAAGGACGGGGGAAACGTGCAGAGCAAGGGCGACGGTGAAGCCTTAAGCCCTACTCTCAAGCAAAGGCGAAGGTGAAGGAGGTCGTGAGATCTCATTTTGGGGCTACAGCAGCTGACCCAGGACAGACACAAGCTAGGGGTCCCATGTCTAGTTCCTTGATGGGTGCTTGACATGTTCCTGTTCGACATGTTCCTGGAAAACCAAGTTGCACTTGACCCCCACTGACCAGTTTTTCTGGCACCACCACATTGCACGGGTGATTTGAGGGCCACATCTGAGTGTTCTTGCTGGCTCATTGCTCAGTAAGCTCCGGCGATGCAGCTCACAACCTGTCATGACAATCCATGCGCTGTTGCACTGCGCCGGTGCACTGGAAGATGTATCATTGTATATATAGAGAGAGAGAGGCCCAGTACTGTACTTTATAGCTTAGAACTTGAAGCTGGTTCATCAAAACATGTTTTTTTTTTGTTTCCCACTTGACCTGCTCTTCTTCATCCATCTGGTCCATCCCCCTCAGATCCTCTTCTTTCTATTTGAGACAGCTGCTGGGTGACCTCCGTTCTGCCCGCCAGGACGTGCGCGCATATCTGGCACCACTCCATCGGACGGCCGGGGACCCGCTGCCGCTTCGCGGCTCGTGACGTCAGTGACGCCAAGCCGGCGGAGCACGTCACGAGCGGAGCATGTGCGGTTCGGAGCAGTCACTGAATACATGTGAGAACCTTATGGTTCTTGGAACTAGTGTGTGTGTGTGTGTTTGCATGTGTTTGTGTGCGTGCCGGGTTTGAAAAGAGCCTTTTTTGTGTCGGCTCTGCAGCTTAATTGGGCTGATGACCCAAAAGCAAAGCTGGTGATTGCTGCTGGCCCCGTCACTAGCCCATGTGAAATTCAGGTTGTTTGTGATTGTTGTGTGGCAACATAAGAGCAAAAAAGTCCGAATACAATGGACCCTTTGAGTACCCAAACCAAAGTTTAGAGCAATTACAATTGTGCATCCCGATCCATCCGATCCTCACAAGATCTCACAAGTCAACTTCCCTCATTGCATCATTCCAATACCCTTCAGAGACTCCTTCGTGACAAACCCTGGGACTCAGTGTAAGGATGTAACTGCTGTAAGAGTGCTTTCCTCATTTGGAGACAAATCAAACAAATCCATCGACCCCAAATCTTGAAGTGGGGTCCACGGACTTCTTTAAAAAATCCCTGGGATGTTCAGCCATCGAGATCTTTTCCATGTTGTTTTGAAGGAACTGAAGGATGTATCCAAAGGAGTCCGTCGACATGTCGAACATGCCATCGATGTCGACCACCGTGACCGGTGCAAACACGGCACCGGTGCCATGAAAGCTGAGGTGACGCAACTGAAGACCACCATGAAACAGGACATCGAAGAGGCCCACTAAGTCGTGGATGGAGACGTGAGTATAGAAGATCGTTGAATATTTGTTGGTATGGCAGAAGGATCGATGAGAAGAATCACTGAGAACGACTGAGCATATGGAGAGAGACCTGCAGAATCATGTCCACAGTTTGGGACATGTTGACAGTTTGTGCTAGTCAACAGTGGAAAACACCCGATTTGGAGGTCAAGGCCGTGTTTGTTTTTTCGGTGTTCTGCTTGGTGGTCGAAACGCTTCGGTCCAGGATTCGGTCCAGGCCTGGATGGCATGGCATGTCCCTGAAAGGATCATTTTAAGACCAAACAGGTGGTGAATCACTCAATCGGGATTATTTTGAGGAGCGTCCCGTTGTTTGGTATATGTACGTATCATATCATTCCTCAAGTACCCCACCATGTGAAAGGATGGACGGATGGACCGCTACGTCGGCTTTGCATGTTGGACTTTTTGGGGTGGTGGTCTATGTCTCGGAAAATCCTCCAGTGTATTGGACTCGACTTCCATTGACGTTCGATGATATTCTAGATGACAAACGTCCGGATGATCAGGATACGAGATGCTTCGGTGAAAGATCTCTTCTCAGTCGACTGCACGTGCCTATCACTGTGCAGACAGGTAGACTACCTCAAAAGAGCTTGTGTTAAGATGCGTTAAAATGTTTTCTAGAAGAAGAAACCCGAAATCGGATGATGTTAATTCCCTTGAAACTGATGATCGATCTTTGCTTGTCGAGCCTGGTGAGTGTGGGGGGGCTTGTTTCTCCATCCCTCCACGGACAGATGACCAACACCCTATAGATGTCATATAATTTATGCCATAATATAATATATATACATATATCATACACAATATTATTATGCTTTTTGTATGTATAATATGGTGTTTTCTACTGTACGTATTGAGGATGTATGCTAGAGTCTAGAGAGGTGCAATGTGTGTGATGTTGGCGAGAGGGTGCAATCAACTACACTGTTTGAGACATGATTTTGGTTTGTCCTGTTACCTGCAACAGTCAGTAACAAGTATCACATAATATCACTATAATTTGTACTAAGCATCATCATCCACCTTTACTGGTACTTGGATAGACCCAAGACATTATGATAAACATTTAATCTTCACTCATCCACTTTCGAAGAAACACGTGTGTGTCGCCGTTACCTGTCTCGTAGGATGCGCCGCCCTCGCCCGTGATCTATACAGCATCCCCAAGGAGCCGGATGGAGGGTGCTGCAGAGGAAGGAAACTGGTGCATCTATAGGTTCGTGCCTCCTTGATCATTTAAGAGCTGCCCAAAAGTGTCCCCCCCAGATCCATTTGTGACGTGGAATTCAACCCGCATATAACTTCCTCGAGTAAACGGCCCGCAATCTTAACTGTGGCCTCCCTGTACACGGAATGCCATACCATTGCTAGCCTTTGAGTTCTATATATACATGCAGTAAACCCTTGAGTTAACCTTATGGGGATCCAGTTCCTCTACAAAACGGGTTACTATAGGTCACTTCATAAGGCCCTTAGACTGGGAATATGTGACTATATTTTGGAGCACTAGTTGATAAGGCATTTAATCAAAAAAGATAAATCACATGGGGTGCAGGTCCAGGTAGATTGAGGATGTCCGCGCAGTCAGCTTTCATGGTGAAGGAGGGATGTTGTATTTGTGTTTTACCTGGAACACCTTGTGTCCTTCTTTTATGCAACTACTGCAAAGTGGTTGGTTTTGGGTTTGGAAAACTGCTAATCTGAAGCTTGTCTTTGCTTCAAGCACGTAATGTGTGTGCCATGTTCTAGAGCAGGCTCTCTATATATTGGATATGCATGCATGGTTGGTAATGTAATTTCATAGAATAGTGGCTTCTTTCACTGAGTCACTGAGATTTTGTTGTGTGGTGTTACTTAAAACAATACTCATGTGCTTGGCCAATGCTGCCTAGATCAAGCCTGCCTATTGTGTGACAGTTAGCCCATTTCACAAAAGGTGGGTACGCTCCGTTACAACATGTTACAACAAATTTGCTGGTATATTCAGTTTATAGCAAAGCGTTGTTTATAAAGTGCATAATTTGCAGCCCAAAAGTTACTGTAAGGTAAGGGGTACCATACAGTATGTCTTCAAAACGAATATATGAACGGCTCTGGTATACCTGGAAGACTTTACTCCATCCAAATTAACTGTCAGGCTGACTCACTTTGTTCGGTGCCCGTCGGCCTTGCATCTTTATGATCGCAGCATAAGAAGCGGCTTCCCTGGCTGCTTGGAGTGAGTTGACTTCGACTTTAGTGTGATTTGGGTGTCGGCCGAAACCGAGTGCACCAAACCATGATGGCTTGACACTCCAGAAGTCCATTCTACTCATTTTGGACACAGCAGCAGCAGCGGCAGCAGATGCAGTAGATGCAATTTCAATTTGCGTGATACCATCGCGACAAAGACGACCAGTACCAACGCAAAGTACCGTCAAAGGATCAGCAACTTACGCCCACAAATAGCTTGCATTCTTGATTCTTTGGTGGCTAACTGGTCGCTTGGACGAGAACAGGGTGGCACAGTACCTCTTTGATCGAAATCTCCCTGCGACTGGCACAAGGAAAAAGACTGACCAAAGACGGCAGCACATCGGGATGACATAGCAGGCCCTCCCAAAAGAGCAGTTGTGTATGTTGTATAGTATGTAGCGGTATTGCCATTGACATTTGTTTACTTGAAGACAATGAACACATGGCAAGTGTTTTCAAGTGCCCAAACATTCCATGTATGGAAGGAAGATTGGCTACATTGGGATTGTTTGAGAGCTCAATGTAGGCATGCATTCCAATCATATGAAGTGTTTGTCAGCAACAAAGTAATTTAGTGCGAATGGAAGTGCAGCGACACGTACAGTGCAACTTGTACATATATATGTACCATATGTACTTTGGCTCAAGGATCAAGCGACTAGAAAAGGTGCGGTTTCCGTTCCGACGCTACGCCGCTTATGGACCGTCAGTGATAGCTTCAAACTTCGCTGATTAAGATCCACTCGCAGGTTATCAGCCGTACGCGCTCTTTATAGCCGTACGAGCTACACGAGACCAAGAACAAGACTAGTCATTACAGAAACCTGCAATGTCAAGCTCAGGAGGAAATGGAAGCGAACCCTATTCATTCGCTGCTCCTGGTGGTCCCAACACCATTTCGTCACCAGACTCTACAATGGGTACTGATTCATCAGCAAATGCTGACGTTATCACTATGCCTACTGGATCACAAATCTCGGAAAGATCCGTGCCACCGGCTCGGAATCTGACCGATCTTGCACCCGTAGGACCAAGAAGATCGATGAGAGCTACAACAAGATCTACATCGCCTATAACGTCTACCGCGAGATCCCCAAGAAGGAGTATAGAGAAGAGACGTGACGATGATAGAGGAACAAAAGAGCAAAGAAGAGAGATTCAGCTGGGTGAAGAATTGAGATCGGCGAGAAACGCATACAATTTTCTTCATGAAGAATATGAATGCATCCAAGCCGGATACTCACGACTACACCACGAGGCTGAAGTGGAGTTCAGGCAAATGTCTGACTACAACAGGAAGATGCAGGAACATCTACAAGAGATGACACAGGAAGATGAAGGAGCGACAATAAGAATTGAAGAGCTCGAACACAAGCTACGCTTGGCGGAATCGACAGCTGAACATATCTACATGAGATATCAAGAGCTTGCACAAGAAACTCATCAAGAACATTCAGAGCTTGAATCTGTGAAAGCAACGAAGGACAGAATGTCCCAAGAGCTTCAAGCAGCAATTGGACACATCCAAGAACAGAATGAATCTTCATTGGCGATCAATAGAAGATCAAAAGCCATTCAGGATGAGAACACAGCCTTCGTCGGAATAGCTGATCAGATACAAGCTAGAATGATTGCGCTACAGGATGAGAATGTCAACATGCACGAGGTGATCCAACACCAGAGAGAAGAACAATGGAACAGTGAGGTCAGGGAAAGACGTCTTCAACACAGTGTTCACTCATCTCAAGATCAGAGCAATCAGGAAGCTATGGTTATTGATTATCTACGAGGTCAACTAGCTATGGCACGTGGAGCTGAACTCAACGCGAGAGCGGAGATAGGAGAGATGGAAGTGGGCATGAGGATGGAGATGTTTGTATGCCAGACTGAAGTCTCTGCTAAAGAAATGGCAGAAATGAAGGCGAGCCACCATGAATACGAAGCAAACGTCGCAAAGGAGGTTATCGCAAAAGGAGAAATATTCAACAACGAAGTCCTAGAAAGTTCCATCCGTGAACGACAACAATTGAAAGACGTCAACCTCGCTCTATCCGAAGCCAACGCACAGCTGAAAAGAGAGAATATGATGAGAGCTCCTATGTTCGGCGATGATGGTGCTGAAATTCAACAGAAGATCAGAGAACTGGAGAATGCACTATTGGAAAGCCAGAAGGAGACAAAGAATGTCATTATGGAAAATGCGAAATTAAAAGCAGAAGCACGAATGGCACCCATAGTCTCTCGGTACAGCAAGCGTCCTAGTTCCAGAGACCGCGGGTTACCAACCCACGCGTCCGAGGAAGATGAGATTCGGAACGCAAAAGAGGAGGCGAAGCACTACAAGGACGGGTACAATGAAATGACAGAGAACCGAGATGAGATGTATGAATGGTATGCCGAAACCCACAATGAGTACGCCGAGGAAAGGGAGAAATCAATTGAGCTATCCGAGGCGAACAAATCATTGAGGGACAAGATTTCAGAAGCAGAAGCATCCTCTTCATCTCATCTTGCACCGGCAACCTCTACAATCATGAAAGTATCGAGGAAGGAAGAATCAAAGATAAACGTTCCGTCATGGCCCAGGATCAATGATCTTGGACTATGGAAGGCAAATCTCATTCAATCGATCATCATTGCGGCCAATGATTCAGATCAAGAGCCCTGGATCGACTGGATCAACGAAGCCATGGACGATCCTGATCCGGACAAGTTTGTCGACTCAGGAGACCAAAGATTCCATTCAATCGATGCCAAACTCGGCCTAGCTCTTACCAAGGTCGTCATGGATGCGAAAGATGATGGTTCAGGTGTAGCTATGAAGTTGAGGACGAGGATCAATGCAAAAGGGAGAACATCAAGCCTCATAAAGGGAAGAGAGGTCCTAGCCCTGATCCTTATGAATTTCAAGACAACATCAAATGTGGAAGTCTTATATACTTCAATGCACCTCTACCAACTAGAATATCAAGGAGACAAGAACTTATCGTTGTTCTTCCACACTTGGGATGAGATTCTGGCAGGAATGAAGCCCGTTGACGTCCCGAGCGACGAAACTTTTCGGGATCTCCTATGGAGAAAAATCAGGAACTCAAACCTCATGGCATACGACATCAGCGCCTACAACAGCATGAACGACGATGATGCCAAGAAGACATACAAACATCTACGTGATATGATCAGAAGGCACATCGAACGGCAAACTGAAGACAGGATGATCCTGGAAAAGGAGAAGGCAGTGAAGAATGTGGCCAATATCTTTCAGAATCTCAAACCAGGCGGACCTGCTCCAAAACTGAAAGCTGCACCAGCTGATCCGAAGAAGAAACCAAAAGGGCAACATGAACAGGTTGTCTCAGAAGACGCTGCTGCAGTGAAGCCGAAACCCAATCCCAAGAAGCATCCTGAAGACAAGAACAAAAAGGGAAAGGGGAAAGGTAAAGGTGATGGAAAGGATCGCAGCCGAAGTCCGAGTACAGACAAGAAGAAGATACCATGCAAATACTTCGTGAAAGGTAACTGCACTATGGGGAAAGATTGCCCATTCAGTCACAAGAAACCCAGATCACCATCCAGAGGATCTTCTGTCGGAAAGAATGATAAGCCAGTATGTTGGATGTGGATTCGAGGAACTTGTGACAAAGGGAAGGATTGCAAGTTCTACCATGACCCAAAAGCCTCTCCTAAGAAAGGGATATCTGCACCAGCTGACTCAGGAGACGATAGGCCAAAGCCCAAGGCAAAACCCAAACCGAAGCCTAAGGCGAAGCCTGGAGCCCCAGCCATTGACGGTGAACTCTTCATGGACGAATCCGAAGATGAAGGGATTGCTGCATCCGCCAAGGCAAGAGAAGGAGGTGCAAAAGTATCCTTTGATGAAGAGACTTGTGAGATCATGTTGAACGAAGCGATCTACTCAGTCAGGGACAAATGGAAGGTAGTAGAAAAGAAACCTCTACGTCCGGATATCAAACGATACGATGAGAAAGAGCTCACCTGCTACACGAGGAAAGAACAAATCAGATTTGAAGAAAAGGTCGCAGAGGCGAGAGGCATATTGATGGTCCCCTACACTGAGATCAAGAGGGTCCGAATACCAGTTGGACCAAAGGGTGACCTATCGGTCACTATGTCTTTTGACGAAGATGACGGCCTAGTTTTCCATCATAAAGTCATTCCTCATGTATGCGAGGGAAAGAAAGATCATGCAGACACAAAGACATTGTCTATTCCAGCCAAAGGGTCAAGAACAAAGTTCATCATGGACACAGGATGTGGGTATGATTTGATATCGAAAGGCAGAGCCAAGAAATTAGGTCTGGAAGTGAGAGAAAGCGACCAATCAATGTCATTCTATACTGCAAATGGAGTGACATCCACAAAAGGAGTCGCCGACATTCATTTCGACGAATTTGACTCTACCTACTCCCCATTCGTCCTAGATGAGTCTCCTTCAGTACTGTCTGTTGGAAAGAAATGCATGGAGGAAGGATACACATTCATATGGCCAGCCTGCGGCAACCCGTACATGGTTTCCCCGAACTACAAGAAAATCATGTTAGAAGTAGAGGGAAACATCCCATATATTGTCAAGGGCAGTGACTTCTGTACTCCCACCGACGATACAAGGGCGGAGATGATCGCAAGGTTCACCCTAGGAGAAGATGAAGCTGATTACCAATCGACTTTCATCAACTGTGATGTGGATCCTCAAGGAATCATGTGTGATGATGACGACCTTCCTGTGATTGAGCCTCCAAAAGTCAAAAGGCGAAAGAGGAATAAGAAGTTCAAAGCATCTCCGGGAGAAGAAGATGAGGTAGGATCAGATGTCGCCGGAGACAGTGAGCCAGAAGCTGACGATGATGATGCAGATGACATCGAGGTGGATGTTGTTGACGGTGCAAGTAGAATGGTGAGAAGAGGAACTCTGAAAGCAGATGCCAGGAAAATCGAGCATCTACTCACACATCGTTACAAGAATCCCTACTGTGAGTCATGCATCAGAGCAAAGATGAAACACTTCAAGACGCATCGAGGAGCGTTCAAGAGAAAGCTCAAAGCTTTTGGAGATCTGGTTACCTTTGATTTTGTCGATACGAGGAACATCCTTGATCAAGGGATCAGTACTGATCGAGAGATCTTCGTCATTCGTGACAGGTACACAGGCGTCATATGGGCCTATCCGTCGAAAGAGAGGTTTACCAAGGACGTGGTCAATGCAATAAACCACTTCAAAGGATTGAAGAAGATCAAGATTGCTTATGCCGACAAAGCCCCAGAGTTTGAGACGGCTATGAAGCAGCTGAAGATCCCATTCGATCACTCTCTACCGAATCATCCTCAGAACAATTCTCTGGCGGAGAGGAACAATCAGTTCATTATGATGACAACCGCAACTTGTCTCTTGGAAGCGGGGTTACCACCATGTTTCTGGAGCTATGCAGTAGAATGCGTCAGCCATCTTTTGAACATTGAGGAAGGAGAGGATGGAGTGAGCCCTTGGTACAAGCTACATGGAAAAGAGTTCCATGGAGAGAAGATTCCCTTTGGTGCAAAGGTCTTCTTCATGCCGAGCAGTCAAGGAAGGATTGAGCAGAAGCACAAGTTTGATCCCAAGGGAATCCCAGGTATTTTCGCCGGATATGAGATCAAGCCCGGGATGAACTGGTCGAGACAATACAGAGTGTGGAGTCTTGAAACTTTTGCACATCAAAGCCTTGCATTTGATGCCAATCGCCCTATCAGAAAGCTACTCACACCACAGCTCACAGAGACCCTGGTATTCCTCGCTCCCATCGAATTCCCGTTGAAGGAAGGATACGAGAAGATCAACAACACGTTGGAAGGCATGAAGATCCGTGACAGGAGAGATGGAGAGCCAGAGGTCGGAGATCCTAGTCAAATGATTGACTATGGAGATTACGAACCAACTGAGCCCGGTATGGATTTTGAGGAGCTTGCGGAAAGGGAGATTAGGGATGAGGACGACGAAGACGCCATTGGAGATCATGAAGCAGATGATGAAGAACGAGATGATCCCGGTGATGATGATGATCCAAAACCTGATGGCGGTCACTCCAAAATATTGTCCAAACCTGCCAAGGCGAAGGTACCACCTTCGACCGGCAGGGAAGATCACCCGCCAGTTGGAGATCCTTCAATGGATCACATGTCCATGGGAAAAGCAAGTGATGGTATCATCTACTTGAATGATGATGGTGAAACCGTGAAACTGGACAGGAAAGGGAATCCATATAAGGTTGGATCAGACGGAAGAAGGTTCTTCAGGTCATCACCGAGACCAAGATCAAAATATACTCCGGAAGAATGGAAAGCGTTATCTCTATCTGATAGAGCTATCGCTGAGAAGAAAGAAGCTCTCGAGAAAGAAAAGATGAAAGAGAGAGAGAGTAAAGGTGCGGGATCCAGCAAGGACAAAAGGAAGAAGAAAAAGAAGGAGGACAAGGATGATGATCCTAAGGACGTATCGCCCAACATCTTCATCGATCTGAAGAAAGATCGGACGCTGATCACCGATGACGATGACATGGGGGGCTATAGTCCATCTTCAGCATCTACACTTTCCACAGAACTCCCAAGCGACGACGATTACTTAGTCGAATGGGAGGAATGGACGAGTGTGGAGAATGGGTTCGGCCCACGTGCTACTTGGGATCCACTCAATATCATTGATGTCAACAGTGGAGAAATCCTCAATGATATGGCAGTAGCATATGCAATGCCAACGGAATCCAATAGATGCACAACCGAAGATTTCACAAAGAACTTGAAAGATCATCACTTGTCATTTCCGTCAATGCCCTGCATCAACTCGATCTCCAAACATCGAGAAAGATACACATATGCCGACACAACGAACCCGATGAGTGCTTATCGGAACCTGTTCAAAGCAGCAGTCTCCAGACCTGTTAGTCGAGCAGAAATGCTGAAGAATCCCAAGGCCAAAGCCTCAATGAGAAAAGAATGGTTGGGACTTCATGAGCAAGGAGTGTTCGACTTCTCTGTGATTCGAGAGTATCACGACGTAAAACAAGAAGCGCTCACTCTGAAGCAGGTCGTGCACTTTGCAAGGGTCCATGGCATCATTGTGGAAAAGAACTATCAATTGCCAATGAGTGATGAGAGACGAAAATTTAAGGGAAGAGGAGTATTGCTAGGAAACAAAGTGAAGAATCAGAATTGGGAAGCAGCTTTCTTTCAGGACTTGGGCAATTCACCAGCATCCTTTGAATCTTCTAGATGGGCAGATTTCTATGGATGTGTTCCCGGACATTCGGTCAAGCTCGCTGATGCGATTCAGGCATACATTCAGGCTTCTCTTACGGGACCGCCCTGTTGGGTCGAGTTACCGTCAGACGCGTGGCCAGATGATGTTGATGTATCAAAGTATCATCGACCAGTGGTACGCCTCCTCAAAGCCTTGTATGGACATCCGGACGCAGGTACAATGTGGGAGAAGCACTGCGATACGCAGGTGCGCCAACTTGG